GGTCCATTAGGCAAATTGCCCCCATTTCCATAGCCTGAAGGTTCCCACTGCCACCTCCAGAGTGGTTCATTTCTACTTCTCTAGAAGGGGCTGAATGGAAAAAAAGTCCCTTTGACACTCCATGACCACCCAAATTTGGGGGAAAGTGGGCCTGGATGCTGTCCTATAGCCATTCCACTCCCTTGAGACCCTGACTTCAGGGGTATTTTCCCTGAAATTGCTGCTTGTTTATGGGCCAGGGGCTGGGAAAGAGCCCCTTTAAGGGAGAACCATGTATGAAGGCACAGCAGCTCTTTTCTCCCTAGAAGGATCTGCTGGCATCTTCATAGAGCCCTGACTAACCAGGACGTGGTCACTGTGTTCCCTAGCTCCTTCTTTCCCTCAGCCAGAGTCCCCAAGAAGGGATCCTCACCAGTGTTCTGTGCTAGCCTGCCAGCTGCTTCATGCCTATTCCATGACATGTCATGGCAGGGTCCTGGCCCTCTTTGGGGACTGGGTTAAGGGGTCTTTTGGGGAAAGGTATGTTAGCACAGCAGTTAAGAGTATGGACTCTGAAGCCAGGTTGCTTGGGTTCAAATCCCAGCTCTACCACTTAATGTCTGCCTGATGTTGGGCAAATGACTTATACCTCTCTGGGCTTCAGTTTTCTCATCTGTAAAATGGGGATAATAATAGTACCTACTGCATAGAATTATTGAAAGGCTAAACATCATAATATGTAATAGCAGTCTCATTGAAGATCTCAACAAATCAAGCTACTTGTATTATTACTAGATAGACACAATAATAAAAAATTACTGGGCCGGCCCGGTGGCGCACTGGATAGTGNGGAAAAAAAAAAAAAAAAAAAAAAAAAAAAATTACTATGGCTACTTTTTTTTGGCATTTCTCATCATCACTGTGGAAAGACTAATGAAATCCCCATGTTTCTTGGCATTAGGAGCATGAATCAAACTAAAACGTTTTGGGAAGGTAACTGGGCATTGTCTGTTAAAGTTTTAAATGTGCATTCCTCCTCTTCCCCCCATCCCACCAAGGGACATGAAAATCAACTACATTGTATACTGATAAATTAAAATAAAAATAAATAAAGTACAGCATGGAACATAGCCAAAAAAAAAAAAAAAAGATAGTGCATTCCTTTGACCAGCAATATCTCTTCTAGGAATGTGTATACAGAAGTATTCACACTAGGGCACAGTATCTGTGCGTAGGACTTCATTGCAACAGTGAAGAATTGAAATCAATCCAAATCCCCATCAAGAGGAGAGTGGTTGAACACACTGTAATATAGCTGCATAACCAAATACTCTGTGACCCTTAGAAAGAATGCAGTACTCTCTATAGATTTCCTGCATGGGAAGATATCCATAATGTATTTTAAGTGGAAAAATAAGTGATTTGCAAAGTAATCAGTATAATAACATTCTATTTGTTATAAAATGTTTGCATATATTTATGTATGCATGTAAGTGTGTTTGTATATGCACAAAAAAGTCTGCAGGAACATCATGGCAGCTGCTTTGGAGGAGAGATGTTTTTTCTCATACACTTCCCTAGTGAGGAGGGGGCATCAGTTTTAGAATTTAATAATAA